TGGAGTCTGTGGGGTCATCAATCTTGGCCCGCTCATCCCAATCCTCAGGCTTTGCAGCATCAGGATCCTTTATCTTCTTGGGTGGCAGGAAGTCCCAATCGTCCTCCAAGGAACCTGACTCCACCTGGCTATTGTCAATCTTCACTTCATAGGTGTTATCTGGCCGCACGATGAGCGTGTACAGGTGGGTGAATTCATCATCCTGAAGAGGATGGGAGGTGAGTGGCCCCGCCCACCTAGCTGGCCTCTGAGTGGCCCCAGCAGCCATTTGTCACCACCCCCAGCAGCCACTTGTCACCACCCCCAGACACACCTTGCATCGGATGTCCTTGTTGATCAGTACGTTCTTGCCCTTATAGTTGAAGATGACATGAACCTTCTTGGTGCCAGGACCACAGATGTCGGGGCCTAGATGAGAAGCAGGTCCAGTTAGGGCTACAGGCTGCCTACCACTGAAGGCCTCCACCCACCTCTCTTTACAAAAAGAAAACTTAGTTCTTATAATTTAGACCTCCAAAATCTCAAAAGACAAGATTCAGGCCTTGACTGGTTCAAAAACGGCTATAAGTGTAGCCTTAATAAAAATAAAAAATAATCACTCCACAACTCACCCTCACTAGGAAAATTAAGAAATACCTACAAAAGATGGCAGGAATTAACAGTCCTATAGCAGCAATAACAATGCTATAAACTAGTAACTATTCTCTCAGCTTCCCCACGGAAGACAAGCCATCTGCCACAGGCTCCAAGGAACCCACGAGGTCTGGATTTCCCTTTAATCAGAGGTCAGCAGCAGGGCGGGGGCGCCTTACCAAACATGATGTTGTATTCGGAGTCTCCGTGCATGTCTGTCTGGTCCAAACCATCTGGAAACAGCTTCACATAACCGCCGCCACAATCTATGTTTTGCTCGTGTTTCACCGTGAATTGCACCACCAGCGTCTGGCCCTTGTTGCTGAAGGGCTCGAATCTGGCCGAAAGAGCGTAAAAGCGGGCATCCTGGCTCGTTTGCAGTCCTAGCAGGGGAATGAAGCGAGGTCATGGCCGGCCCCAACCTGCGGGGTACCTAAGGTCGACTCCCCCTACTCTGCTGCTCCTGAGGATACCCAAACTGTGTTGACTAGGGCCTCCTCCAGGAAGTTCTCCTGGATCTCATCACTTTCCCCCGCCCCCCAACTCTTACCTTTATCTTTCTCCTGATCACCGTAGAACTTGCCGGAACTGAGGACAAATTTGCCAAAATCCGACTTGTGTTTGGATTCGATCCAGCGGTGGACCCACCCGTCTAGGGGATCAGAGGAGCAGGTCAGTTAGACCGTACTGATTCCCCCCGACAAACATTGCTAGGAGCCACAAGCTGCTGGAGACAGCAAAGCGATACCTACACCCCCCCGTGGCTGTTCCCACCCCAACCTCTAGTTTGACACCTCCAGAGAACCTCCAGCGAACCCTAACTCCCGCAGCCGGAGGTCGTTGTGTCCTCCACGCACCCCAGAAACGCGTAAGAAGGATCGCCTGCGGCTCTAATCCCCGGGGACCACGGTGTTGGCCCAGAGCAGTAACTACTAGCGGCAAAGCAGATCTAGACTGGGGGGCCGGCCTCGTCGTCTAGGCGTCCTCCAGACGGGACCAGGAGTTACCTCCGTCCGGAAACTGTTCCTTAAAGTAGACGGCGGGTTCGGCGGCGGCCAGGCCGAGGAGGCCAAGCAGCAGCGGTACGGGTAGCAGCATGGTGGGCCGAGGGGGCGGCGGCGCGCGGGCCCTTTAACTCCCTCCCAAAGCTGCGGCTCTGCAGTAGGAACCGACGCTGCCGCCGGCAGTGCAGTTTTATACCCTACCGCCTCTCAAACGAACCTGGCCCGGCCTCTTGGCCGGCCCTTCACACTCTATCATTGGTCTGAAGGCACGGCTATGGCTTATCATTGGGCCCTTTTCAGCTCAGCATGTTAGACTGTGCCTCGGAACGCTGGGTTCCCAGATGGCCGATTTCTATTGGCCGCACCACTGGCCAATGAGGGTCAACCACGCGTTGTGGGGTCCGCCCACCGGTTGGGTGGGGGCCCCGAACCCACTCAGGCCAGGTCATGTGATCAGAGCTTGATGCCCAACCCCGTTGTCGCCCGCGCGACTAGTTTCAGCTCTGGGCGTTTAAAGAACCCGCGCGAGCGTAGGTGTCACCGCGTAGGACCAGCACCCTGTCCCAGCTTTGCCTTCTCTCATCCAGCTGCAGGGAGCAGTGGGCAAGGTTTTCCTTAGCCGCTTTCTACCCTGTAGTTGGAGAACTCCCACTGCAACGCTCGCGCCAGCTGCCTCTACCCTGCCCAGAATGGGGCAGAGCGCACCAGAGCTCAGGGCTGGGACTCGGGCTTCACATCACTCCGGTGCCACAGCCTTGCAGGCCAGCGGGGAGAGTGCTAGCTCTCTCCTCTCTGCGGCCCCTAGTGCCCTGGAGTTAGTCAGACTTATGCTGTGTGACCTGGGGCAAGTCGTTTAGCCTCTCTGAAGGGACAGGAGCACCTAAGGCCAGGAGGAGCGACGCTGGCCAGCTGCTGCCCCACAGAAATGCTTTCAAAGCTTTCAGAGTTGTCCTGAGTCCGAGAGAATAAAGCCCAGAAGGTATGAAGATGTGACTATAGGTTGTGGTTCCTACCTAGTGTGGGGTAGAGTGTTGTGTCCTGTGTCTCCACCCTCCAACCCCCGACCCGACCTTGCAGCCTCTCCTTTAACCACCCCTTACCACCAGCCAGTAAATGAGAGGGGTCGCTGGCTTGTGGTCTCCCACAAACGGCCTGGCTTTTGCAATTAAACGGCTAAAGAGGAGAAGGCAGGGAACAGCTAAAGAGAGCAAGGGGTTCCGTTGGGGAGAAAAAAAAATGAGACAGATGGTGAGAGAGATAAGATTCAAGGGAGATGGGCAGGACCCCTGAGTCTAGATTCTTTTTCTGAAGCCAGAGGCATGTGACTGACACCAGCTCCTTCTCCTCAGGCTGCAGGAAGAAGGAAGGAGGGCTGGGGGGTTCCCAAACTGAGCAAACAGGCCCTGGATCTGGGAACATGGGAATGGATGGCAAAAGGGTAGGGAAGGGGTGCTTTCCTGCTAGTGGCAGGGACTCAGAAAAGGCAGAATGAGGAGACTTGGGGAACTTGAGGTTCTCCTCTTCCCTCAGGCAGTATCCAGTATCACTCAACCGGGCCCCCTTCACGAGCAGGAGCCCTAAGCCTAAGTGACAACTCCGGGCCTCTCACTGCTGACCCTCCTGCCTTCCCTCCCTTCCACCAGGTGTCATGGACCAATGCGCTCAGTGCTTCCTGCTGGAGGTAGACACTCTGCCTCTCTGGTTCACCTCACCATCCCCCAGTGTCTCCAGCACATGGCACAGAACAGGCTTAAAACTTAATTGCTATGAGATAGAAAAGGGAAAGTCCTTTGAAGCTAAGAAGGGACTTGGAGGGACACATTATGAATTTTTATCAGAACCTCCACTGTAGGGTCAGGATTGGGGGCCATTGGGTACATGACAATTACATCAAGCTCAGTAGTTGTCATGATTCAATGAGTAAAGGTGTTCTCTTCAGGATAGTACCTGATACATGGTCCACACTCAGTATCAGCCAGTACCGTATTTTACTTAATTCTCACAATCACTTGGGCTTATATCATCTCCATCCAGGCAAGGAAACAGGTACAGAAGGATTAATTGATTTGGCTGAGTGACATAAGTGGTAGATCTGGGATTAGAATCTATTTATGCTACATAGTCTTCACTGGACACATGTGACTATTCGCCCTTTGAAATGTGGCTGGTCCCAACTGAGATGTGCTATAAATGTAAAAGACACATCAGATTTTGAAGACAGTAGGAAAAAATAATGGAACATAGTTCACTTGAAATTTTGTAGTGTCAAAATGATAATTTGGACATATTAATTGCAGTGAATTCTTCCAATTGATTTTACCCATTTCGTTTCTGACATTGCTACTGGAAAATTTTAAATTACATTTGTATTTTGTATTATATTTCTGTAGGTCAGCGCTAATTTAGACCATGCATAATTTCCCTGACATTGATTTTTTCAGAACATGGGTATGTGTGTGCTGTGGGGGGATCCAGGGTGTTTATCATTTCCGACGCCATTCTTCACCAACTCCTTGTAGAACCTTGGGCAAGTCATACTACCCTCTGCGCCTCAATTTTCACATCTGTGAAAATGGGAATTATACCAGTATCTACACCATAAAGTTTTGGTGGGAAATGAAATAACACAGCTGAAACACTTAGCCCTGGTTTGGGCACACCAGTGGATATCCACACAGATTAGAGGCAACCTGACTATAACTACTACTAGGTGAGTCCCTCTCCCTTCTAAAAGTGGAATGGTCCCTACCCAGCCTCCCTTTGAAAATTTAAAGGTAGTTGACATCAGTACAATGACAATCTCGAGCCCACCCACCACCACAGCCCTCCCACAGGGAAGGAGAGCATCCCAGAAGAGAGGACGGCAGCGAGGCCCAGAGAAGGGGGAGTCCAAGGTCACAAAGCCCACCACAGGTGGGACTGGATGAAACTTAAGGCAACGCTGTAATTCTGTCCTTGAGATCGTCAGTTTGACTTCTCTGGTCCACAGGACACCACAAGCTACTGAGGGCTGAACCCCTCCCACCCTTTGAGGAACGGTCGCCACATTCAAGATGGCGACACCCTGAGCCTGCAACAGGTTCTCCACACACAAGATGGCAGCACGTGCTCCCAGCGCCGGTTCCGGTTCCGGTTATTCAGGCGCGGCCTGGGACATGCCGAGCGCACTAGGAGCAACCATGGCGGACGGTCCGTTGGCGGAGGTGCTGCTGCGGAGGCTGGAGGCGGCCAGTGGCGGCCTGGACAGCGCGGAACTGGCGGCCGAGCTGGGCGTGGAGCACCAAGCCGTGGTGGGCGCCGTGAAGAGCCTGCAGGCGCTGGGCGAGGTGAGCCGGGCCATGATGCCGGGCCACTTCACTTTTGCATCTGCAGCCCACTTGCCGGGAGGGCGCTCCTTCCAGGCCAGACTCCCTCAGGAGCCCAGCCCGGAGTGCGCAGGCGAGGCGTCAGGAACGAGTGAGGGCCCGCGCGCACGGGCATGCAGTAAACGTCCTCCGAGGCATGATCAGCGTTTGGGGCACGATGGTGGACAAGGAAAACGCGGTCGCTGCCTTGATGGAGGTTGCGGTCTGATGGGGGAGATACGCAGGTGACCGGAGTGATTGATGAAGCACAGGGAACCCAGTGCTAGCTGACCCAAGCCTTGGGAGGCCTGGAGAGCGTCTTGGAGGAGGTAGCAGAGTCGGGTCTTTGCACCGAGGAGGGAAGCTTTAGGGATCAGTATGGAGGAGAGGGGACAGGTGTGGAAAGAGACCAGCACAGCCAAAATTTTTGTAAAGCCCTGTAGGTCTTTATCTCACGGGGGAACCGGGAAGCCACGGCAGGAGCTGTAGCCAGTCGGATGTGTGTGCCATCTGCATCACCTTTGGGAAGGTTTAGTAGGCGCAGGACTGGGGTGCGGGTGAGGGCGTAGTGTCGCTGTAGAGAGGCAGCTGGAATGGAGAGGGGATTCAGAAGAGGGAATGGAATTAGATTCATGGCAAGGCAGGCGGAGCACGGATGAAGTGCAACTGTCACCTTGGGCAACGCAGGAGTCTGGATCCCTAAGGTCAGTAGGACTCAAAACAAATCTGGGCTGTTTATTTGTCAAGCTCATGTTCTGCATGGTACTCTCTTCTCAGCTTTATTTCTCATGCAGTCTTGAAAATTACCCTACAATGATGGCATTGTTAGTATCCCCTTTTTGCAGATGTGACAGCTTGTATGCACTGGTCAGGAGCTTGATCGGTGTTACCGATCAGGCAAACCTCCGTTTGAAATTAGGCACTCAGGTTGCAGAACCCCAGGCTGTCACTGCAGAGAAGGGATTGAAGCAGTAGTGTGTATAGTGACAGTACCTTGATTGATGTGAAATTGACATTTAAGTAGGTCACAGAGTTAATTAGTGGGAATTTAATGTGGTTCAGTCTGATAACAACGGTCCGATTTGGTAGCAATGATAGTAACAGTGGTTAGAATTTATTCTGCATTTGTTGTGTGCTAAGCCCCCATATTCTTTCTGTGTATTAATTCAGTTGCTCCTCAAAACAATCCTCTGAGGTAGAGCCCACCACACCCATCTCTTATGGGTATGAAAACTTGCCCAGGGAGGTTAAGCAACTTTCCTGAGGTCACACAGCAAGTGAGGAGAAGAGCTGAGAATTCGAATGAAGCTAAGGCCTGTAGGTCCCACCCAGCCTTGCCCCTGTCTCCATGACCGGAACCCACGCTCATCATGAGCCTCAGGTTCCAGTGTGTAATGTGGACCTCCACAGCCCTTCTCTGACACTGCAGGCACTGCAGGCACTCCACATAAACCTGGAGACAAATAGTTCATTTGAGACCTGAAAAATCTTTTGCTGGCTCAAAAGCAATGAAAAAAACTTGTCCTTTGACAGGCAATACCCTTAGTACTTTACCTTATCCTGGAACCTGTGAACCATCTTTATCATTATTCCCATGTTGCGGAAGAGAAACTGAGGCTTAGCAAGGGGAGGCCACTTGGCTGGGATGTGGCAAAGCTGGGATGTGAAACAAGCTTCAGGGACTGTGTAGCCCCAGTGCTGTGGTGAGGGGGTGCCTGGCTCTAAATCCTGTCCCTGTGGGGGCCTCCCCCAATTTCCCCGCAGATCATCGAGGCTGAACTGCATTCCACCAGGCACTGGGAGCTAACTGCTGAGGGCAAGGAGATTGCCCGGGAGGGCAGCCATGAGGCGCGGGTGTTGCGCAGCGTCCCTCTGGAAGGCCTGGCCCAGAGCGAGCTCATGGTAGACACCTGGGGGGCAGGGCCTAGGGAGGTGATGGGATGAGGGCGGCCCCTTTGTCCCACTCACTGCAGCTTTGCTCCCCCAGCGAATGCCCAGTGGCAAGGTGGGCTTCAGCAAGGCCATGTCCAACAAGTGGGTCCGCGTGGACAAGAGCATGGCCGATGGACCCCGAGTGTTCCGTGTGGTGAGTTCCTGCAGGTGGGCAGGCAGGCATTTGTGTGTGGGCGCCCTGGCCTTTACAGCCCCTTAACACCCATTACCATGGCAGGTGGACAACGTGGAAGATGAGGTGCAGCGGCGGCTCCAGCTGGTCCAGGGTGGGCAGGCTGAGAAGCTGGGTGAGAAGGAGAGGAATGAGCTCAGGAAAAGGAAGCTGCTGACTGAAGTGTGAGTGGATGCCACCTGCAGGCTCAGACCCAGGTCACCTACGTGTCGCCTGGGAGCTATCCTCCTCCCAGAACTGCTTTACAATGTGGTTGTCAAGCATATAGGCCAGGCTTATGTCACCTCAGGGCCTTTGCCTATGCTGTTTCTTCTGCTGAGCTTCAAGCCAGGCTCCAGTATCAAACCTTTGCAATTATGACACCTTAAAGAGGCCACCCTGACACCCTGCTCTCCCTTTGAGAAAAGCCCCTCACTCCTATTCCTCACCCCTTGTGCTGTATTTATTTTCTTCAATCCTAAGCACCATCTGGAACTGATTTGATTTTGGGTCCTGGACAGACTGTGAGCTATACTCTCATAGGGATGACATACCCTGTGAGCAGACTCTGAATGGGGTAGGAGTTATGGCAATATAGACTAGAGCCAGGTTGCCCACTCTAAGTCCCAGCTCTGCCACTAGTTAGCTGTGTGACCTTGGTGAAGTCACTTGATCTTTCTGGGCCTCGGCCTCCTTATCTGTAAAATGGCCCCTTTTCACAAGATTGTGGGACAACTTCAATAGGACAGAACCTGACACAGAATCAGTCCTCTAACCTTGCCCTGTTGTTACCATGCCCAGCTGTATGCTGAGTGCCTTGCACAAGCCCTGGCACACAGTAGGTTCTCCAGAAGTGTCGAATAAATAAGTGAATTAACACAGGATCCTCAGTGCGGGCCAGATAAGAGGATTTCAGGTAATAACTGTCAGAAAGAAAAGAAACAGAATGACTTGGTGAGTGGTATTGGGGTCAGCATCAGATAGGACATCAAGGAAAGCCTCTTTGAGGAAGTGGCAATGATGTCCCCTCCCCTTCTCTGGTCACAGAACCCTGAAGACCTACTGGGTGAGCAAAGGCAGTGCTTTTAGTACCAGCATCGCCAAGCAAGAGTCAGAGCTGAGCCCAGAGATGATCTCCAGGTAGGCAGTGGCCCCAAGGAACAGGGCAGACTGGTGGGTTGGGCAGCCCCCACCAGTTCCACGGACTGTGCATCCCCCTGCAGTGGCTCCTGGCGAGACCGACCCTTCAAACCCTACAACTTCTCAGCCCATGGGGTCCTCCCCGACAGTGGCCACCTGCACCCCCTGCTCAAGGTCCGCACCCAGTTCCGGCAGATCTTCCTGGAGATGGGGTGAGCACAAGGCCAGGGGTTGGTGGCCCAGCTGCCAGGCACAGGCAGGGCAGCCAGGCCGTGTCTCCCATCAGGTTCACTGAGATGCCAACCGACAACTTCATTGAGAGCTCCTTCTGGAACTTTGACGCGCTCTTCCAGCCCCAGCAGCACCCAGCACGCGACCAGCATGACACCTTCTTCCTACGAGGTGGGTGGGTCCTGGTGCGCCATCAGAGGTGCCAGGCTGGGCAGAGCTTTTGGGGTAGTGTACCATTTTAGAGAATAAGCTCCGTGTTCCATAGCATCGCCAAAAAGGCTGCTGCAAGATGGTTCTGTCAACCTGTGATCTCCTACCACTCCTCCTTCCCACCTTGGGGCCTTTGTACATGCTGTGATCTTTGATGAGAACTATTTTCTCCTGAATCTTCAAGGCTGGCTCTAGCATCAGACCTTTGCTTATGTGTCACCTTAGAAAGGCCACCCTGACATGCCCTTATACCCCCAGGCCTCGGTCTTGGTTGCTAGTTATTTCTTCCTTTTACTATCCTTACGGTCTGAAATTGAATGACTTGCCACAATGGTGGTTGTCTCCCCCACCAAGAGGGCAGGTGAGGCCACCCAGTGCCCGTTACCTGGCTCGGAGCAGCTACGTCATTGCTGTCATTGTCATGGTACCCAAAGCTTAATACTAAGCACTCTGTGCGAGTTACTGTTCTAGTGTTTCTGCCAACTATGAGAAGTAGTATTGTTAGTCCCCCTTACACAGGAGGAAACTGGGGCTCAGAGAAGAAACTTTACTTGCCTAGTGTCACGTAGCTTATAAGTAGTGGAGCTGGGATTTGATATCAGGCTTTTCAGGCTCACCAAAACGGTGTTTCTGGAAAGGGCTCTTAAGAATTTGCACGTTTATACAGTAGTCTCTGAGCCCCTCCTGTGTGCCAGGATCTGTGTTGAACCACCTGGGTCACAGTCCCCTACCGAGACAGAAGTCCTTGTCCTGGTGAGACCTGCCTCCTTTTGGGGGAGATATGTATTAAATCCTGAGTAATCCAAAAGTGCAGTAATACAAAAGGTAATAGAGGGTGGCACTAAATGCAGTGGGGAGAGCGGCTGAAGAGGCTGTCAATTTAAAATAGTCTTTGCTTAAGTAAAGGTCAAAAGAAGTGAGGGATGCCACATCTAGGAAAGAATTCCAGGCAGAGGGAATGGCCAGTGCAAAGGCCCCGTGGCTAGAACATGCCTGGTGTGCTCACAGATCAACTGGGAGGCCCTGTGATGAGGGAGTGATCAAGTAGAAGTATAAAGAGACCAGGACAGGGATGTGACAGGACTGTGCAGAGCATTGTAGGCCATGGAAAGGGCTTGGACTTCAGCTTTTTCCCCCGAATGAGATGGGAACCACAGAGGGCTCTGGGCAGAGGAGGGATGTGACTGGGGTGTTCCCAAGTGCCGTCTGGCTGCTGTGGTGGCGGGGGGAGGGCAACGCATGAGGGCAGAATGATTGTGTTACTGTGTGCTCTCGGTGCGGTGGCTGTTTGAGAAATGCTCCCAGACTGACCACATGACTGTCTGTCCTGCCCAGATCCGGCTGAGGCCCTGCAGCTCCCCATGGACTATGTCCATCGGGTGAAGCGGACCCACTCTCAGGGTGGCTATGGCTCACAGGGGTAAGGCAAGGCTGGGCCTTTGGGGTGTCAGGGCAAGGAATCTGGGGGCCTGAGAGCCACAGCACAGACTTCCCACATGTCCTTCTGAAGGTACAAGTATAACTGGAAGCTGGACGAGGCCCGGAAGAACCTGCTACGCACGCACACCACGTCGGCGAGTGCCCGTGCCCTCTACCGTCTGGCTCAGAAAGTGTGCCTCTGCCTGGGCTGGGGGTGGAGGAGGGGGGTCATACCAACCGGCTTTCTGACCCACTTCTGGGCCTGGCCCTTCTGTCACCCCCAGAAGCCCTTTACACCCACCAAGTACTTCTCCATTGACCGTGTATTCCGAAATGAGACACTGGATGCCACACATCTGGCTGAGTTCCACCAGATTGAGGGCGTTGTGGCTGACCATGGCCTCACCCTCGGCCACCTCATGGGCATCCTGCGGGAGTTTTTCACCAAGTTGGGTGAGCAGGCAGGCCAGGGTGACCAGTGTTGGTGGGGCAAATATCTTGGCCACCAGCCTTATTCTCCACCCCTTTGCCTGCTTCTCCCACCCAGGTATCACCCAGCTGCGCTTCAAACCAGCCTACAACCCGTACACAGAGCCCAGCATGGAGGTGTTCAGCTACCACCAAGGTTAGGGTGGAACCCAATTCTGGGGTAAAGGGAGGTCTCATGGTGCCCATGGCTCAGCCTGGCTCCCTGTCACTGCCAAACCCTCACCTCGCCTCCTAAGTTCACCACCAGGCCAGACTTCAACCACAAATCTACCCCTGTCCTTCTGCTACTCCTACAGGCCTGAAGAAGTGGGTGGAAGTCGGGAACTCTGGGCTCTTCCGTCCCGAGATGCTGCTGCCCATGGGGCTCCCCGAGAACGTGTCAGTCATTGCCTGGGGCCTCTCCCTGGAGCGGTGAGTGCCAAGACCATTTAGGGTGTCTGGCTGTGTCACTCAGATGACTTGCAAGGTCTGGGGGTGGGGTGGGAGTCTTGCAGACCTTCAGCACTGTGCATTCATCCATGCACCTGACAAACCCTTAGTGCTTACCTTAGTACTACCACAGCACACATTCCTACCTCTGTGAAGCAAGAATCCTAGTGGAGCAAGAAAGATGATAATTAGAAACATAAGTAAATTGAACAGATAAAGCCTAGAGTGTGTCCAAGGGACACACAGCAGGGAGGGCCTTGTGGAGGAGGTGACATCTGAGTAAAGATCATATAGATGAAGGGGTGTCCAGGAACAACGTTCCAGGCAGCAAGAGCAGCCAGTGCAAAAACCCTGAGGCAGGAACATGCCCGCTGTGTTTGGAGAACACAGAAGAGCCGGTGGGGCTGGAGCGGGAGCAAGGAGGGAGATGAGGGCAGGAAGGTGACAGGGCAAATTGTGCATGGTCTTGTGGGCTCCCAGGAGGACTCGGACTTGCACTGTGATGGAGTGGGAGCCGTCAGAGAGGGTCTGATCAGAGGACAGCATGACCTGACCTTAAACCATGTCTCCTCCCATCCCAAGCCCAACAATGATCAAATATGGCATCAACAATATCCGGGAGCTGGTCGGCCACAAGGTGAACCTGCAGATGGTGTACGACAGTCCCCTGTGCCGCCTGGACGCTGACACGGGGCCCCCTCGAACACAGGGAGCTGCATGACATGGGCCACCCTGGGAATAGCTTGCCCTCTCGAGCCCCTGCTGCCCAGCCCCTTTGCATCCCTCGCCTGTGACCCCCTTGTATTTATGAGGCCTCTATGAGGCCATCCCCCAAACCCTGGTATTCCTTCTCCACCCAGCCCAGGGTCCCAGGGGCAGGGGAGCAGGTAGCAGGTACATTCTGTTGTCCACCCTTGAGGGTGGGCCCTGGGGAGTCCTGAAGGCTGGCTACTGGCTAATAAAGTGGGTAGTTGCCCTCATCTGGTTCCTTTCCTTAGGACTGGAAGTGTGCTGGGTGTGAGGGGTGGCGGGTTGGAGGTGTCTTTGATCTCAGGGAATCCTGGTCAGCCTAAGCCAGATCCCCCCAAGAAAGTCTAGTTCCATGAAGTCTTAACCAATCACCTACTGGTGCCAGGCCCTCTTCTAGGTGAACAGAACAGAACTCTCTATCCCTGTGGGAGGGGAAGACCAAGTCAGGGTTTGGGGCTCCAGCAGCCAAGATTACCCCTAAGTGGTAAGAGCTAGGGGTGTGTATTAGGGGGCCAGTAAACTATGTTTTTATAAGCTACCCCACAACTTTTAAGTTTTAGATTCACAACAAAATTGATCAGAAGATACACAAGATTTTCCACATACCACATGCCCCCACAAATGCAGACTCCCTTGCTATCAACATCCCTACCAGTGTTATTAGTTACAGTGGGTGAGCCTACATTGACACACACAATCAATCACCCAGAGTCCATAGCTTACACTGCGGTTCACTCTCCATGTTGTACATTCTGTGGGTTTGGACCAATGTATGCTGATGTGTATCCATTATTATGGTATCATGCAAGAGTATTTTTATTGTCCTTAAAAGTCCTGTGTGCTCCACCTATTCATCTCTCCCTCTCCTTAAAAAGCAGCTCTTTTTAAAAAGATTCTCAAAAGGATTTCACATGTGCCCAGAATAATGAGATGAATAAAGCTCCATGAACCTACCACTCAACACTGAACAGGGAGCAGGATCTCACACCTCTATCTGTGGTAATGTTATAAAGCCAATCCCAGCCATCATGCTGTTTAGTCCCTTGTCTTCATGGGTGGCACACTTTTTGAAATGTGGACAGTTTCTTGTGCAACCGTGAGCCCACCGGTAATAGCACAGCTGGTAGTCAGGTGAGGCTGTGGGCACCCATCTCCTGAGGGTTCCTCAGTCATATCTGTTTTTCATTTCAAATTAAATAGTTCAGTCAAAAGAAAAATGCTCATTCACGCAATAAATGTGCACCTCCTAAGTGCCAGCAGTGTTTATGAGCTGAAGACTTGGCAATGGGCAAAGCTGACTCAGGAGATGACATTGGTAGGGTAAGTGGGGGGGCCTGGAGAAAAATAAAGGAAGGAAAGGGTAAAGGCCATGTAGAAAGTAAAGGCAGGAAGCATACATAATATAAAGCCTAATACAATGAACACCCAGGAATCCACCCCCAGTTAGTTTGAATCTGAATATTGGCTTTGTTTTGGATAATTCACCTTTTAGAATTTTGTGGTTAATTGTTTGAAGACCCTATGGGCTTCCTTTTGCCCCACTCCACTGAGGTTGACTGAATTTGGTGTTATCATTCTCGTGTGCTTTTTAAATTAATTTTATATGTTACCTTAACAAGACATGGTTTTATTTTGCATGTTTCAAGATACAAACCATGCACCATAAAAATCACCCTGCATCTGTGTATTGCTTTTGGTTAGGGTGTGTGTGTGTGTACATGCTTAACTGAGTCTTTGATATTTTTCTCTGTAGATAGCCCTTAAATCTTCAAATCTAATGCTTCAGGAAGATGCATTTGGTTTAACTTGCTGCTTGGCCATAAGATAGTAATGTTAGCCACTGTTTATTAAATTCCTACTGTGTTCCAGGTGTTTATCCCTGCTACAAAACCCAGTGTTTAAGATATTATAACCTCAGTAATAGACGGGTTGGAGATTGACTAACAGTCTTATGATCACTCCTGCTGGTAAGAGACAGAGCCCATTTTCACACGTGTGTTCTCCAGACCAAAGGTAGGTGTTAAGGTGTGTGTTCTAGTGTGTGTGGCTAGGGACACAACCCTGCCCAGAAGGGATGGGCAAATGGATTCCCACTGCCTCCCTCATATGGACACTAACAGTTGTGCCGGAAAGGAGTTCCACCTCCTTCCCAGTCATTTGGAACAAAATCCCAACCCTTGGCCTTAGCCCCCAAGCCCAAACCCTGCTCAACTCTTCACTCCCAATCTTTGGCCTCCTCCAATCTTTGCTCTCCCTTCCCACTAGACCAGGTTGCCCCTCAGACACACTGAACTTGCTCGCACCTCAGGGCCTTAGCACACACCTATTCAAATCATGCCCATTTTTAAATTGGGTTGTTTGTCTTATTTTACAAGAGTTTACAAAAGTTTACAACTTTACAAGAGTTCTTTGTAGATGCTGGATACACATTCTTAGATGTCTATTTTGTAAATATTTTCTCCCAGCCTGTGGCCCCTAGTGTGCTAATTATTATTGTTGCTGTTAAGGCATTACTGTTAAGTTACAACTATTAGTGAGGGATATGGGCCCAACTCTGTAAGGGCCAGCCCCCACCATGCTGTCAAGGAGCTCGTACTTTTGGAACGCAGTTAACTGATTCAAGGTGATAACTGCATAAACTTTTTCACTGAAGGCAATCGGTCATGATCAGTGAACAGCAGGTCAGAATTTTTTATTGGAAGGATTTCTCGGGGTAGAACCGACTAACTGAAACGTACGTACGCAGGGCAGGATCAGCTAGACTTGCCACTGTTCAGCCTGGGAACCTCGCACATGCGCGCGCAGTGATCAGCCTCTCCTCCGGCGGTGGCGGCACGCTGCGCAGCCCACTATAACCCAACCGCCACTTAACGGCCGGCCCCGCCCCGTCCCGCTATGCGCTCAAGCCCTCAGAGGAAGACGAGACCAAGCATGCGCGCCGAGGGGGTGAGGGTGGGGGCGTGCCGGGGGCGGGGCATGCGCGTGCGCAGAGAATGCGAACGAGAAGGCGGGAAAAGACAGGATGCAGCGACAGGGAGTACGCGACGCTTGTTTCTTTCTTGCGGGGGCGGGCTGACGGGCTGGATGGCCGCGATCTTGGGCTTCCTCGGCAGACGCGAGCCCGGCTGCTTATCTTTTGCCATTGCGGTTGCCCCTTGCTGCGCCGGGTCCGATTGCCTGACTGACTGACTGGGCCCTGACTGACGAACGGACTGTGTGACGGACTCGCTGACAGCCGCTGCCAGAAGCACAGACACACACGCTTGGCGTGTGCCAGGAGCAGGGTAGACAAAGCCTCAGATGCCCACGCCCTGCACCCGTTTCTTTTCTTCTTTTTCTGCTACCACTTCTTCCTCAAAGGACTCGAGCCAACATAGGGAGCCCAGCCCCGCCAGCGCCCTTCCCGAAGCCCCTGCCCTCACTCCGGCCCCTCCGGGTCTCCCCGCTTCCAGCCTCCTGTGCTCCAGGCGCAGGATCCCCCCACTCCACAGCCCCACCCTCGTGGTGCCCGTCCCAGCGCCTGCCGTCGCTCCTGCGGCCCGCGGAGGTGCCAGGGTGGCAGGGCAGGAGCCAGGGGACCTGCATTCTCACTCTCCCTCCTTCGACCTCAAGCCCTGGCTGTGCTCACAGGTGGACATGTCCCACGTAGAGTGCAAGGACCCGGAGCCACAGCCCTTCCGGGACAGCAAGGAGCAGCAGCACGAGGAGGAAGCTGGTCGGGGGTCATCTAGGTGAGGAAGCCCCCGGCCCAACAGGGCCAAACAGACCCCTGGGTCCTTCTCGGTCACTTGTTTCTTACACAAAACTCTACCATTGTCTGCACTTGGCCCATTTGTTCCTCATACTGGTCGAGCATCATCCATATCTCTGGCAGGATTCTAAGTGCTGGGGACACAACAGTGAGCTGATATTCTAGAGGAGGAGACAGACTGTAAAGTCAGAAATATGTGGCGATCAGGTGATGCTAAACTCAGGGATATACAGGAGTCAGGAAGAGTGACAGGTGTCCAGTTTAGAAGAGGGGCTGTCAGGGAAGGCTTCACAGAGTAAGTGGTAGGAGAACCATGCTCCAGGCAGAGGAACAACAGCTGCAAAGGCCAGGAAGGAAGACTGCACTGGAACCGGTGAGTTAAAGGGAGAGATAGTAAGAAATAATGTCAAACAGGTAGAGTCTGGATGTTAAATACCCGTAAAAAGGTTCAGAATAGAAGAGGGCCCTGATGTGACTACAGCAGGGTGAGGGCTGTTGTTAATAAAGTTTTATTGGAATATGGCCATGCTTGTCTATACCTTCTTCTGCAGAGTTGAGTTATTGTAACTGAGACCATAGGGCTCCCAAAGCTGGAAAGATTTACTGGTGGTCCTTTATAGATGTTTGCAGTTGTCTGGAGTAAAGTAATAAAAGACTCCCTCTGGCTGCCATGTGGAGAATTGATTGTTGAGGGTAGGAGTGGAAGCTGGGAGACTACCTAAGAAGATATTTGGAATAATCTAGGTGCAAAACGACTCTGG